CGGCCGCCGCCGCCAGCCGGTGTGACATCCTCCGCCCCCGACTTCGCGCCGCTCGGGCGCGCGCACGTGCAGCGGCGCACAGGTCCTAGGGGCGCGCCGCCCTCGCGCCGCCTCGGGGGCCTCTGTTGAGGTGTCCACTTCCTCGCCTGACTGCGTGAGGCTTTGAGCTTGACGGTCGGCTTTCCCTGCCGAGACAGCTGCGCGCAGGAACCACAGCGACGGACTCGGGCTAGGCACTAAGGGACCTCACAGAGCCTTTAGACCTATTTTAAGTCGGGCCCCTCCAACGACACTCACTTCTGGTGTGCTCCGCGGGAAGCGGCTCGCGCGTGGGCGCCCGCGGCCAGCCTGGCCCCACGCGTCCCTGGTCTGTCCGGCGCGGCTCCGACGTGCCTCGGGAGCAGAGGCCCGGGCTCGGCGCCGGCTACGCCGCGTCGGGCCCTTTCGGGACCCCCGCCGGCGGGCGGGCTGTGCTCTGGGGCCCAGAAGCCCGCGCCGGCGTCGAGCACGAGCCGCCTGTTTCCGCTCGCGGCCCCATCCTCTCTCCCAGGTTCTGCAGGGAGACGCAGTGACTGCAGCCTCCTTGCCCCGCAGACCGCTGCGGTTCTATCACATTTCAGACGCAGAAATGCCTGGGAAGAGGCCCCCAAGTGCAACTGTCAGCCCCAGTGCCATAAGGGAGCAGAAGGCAGTTACCCTCGACGTCAAATTGGAAGTGTTGAGACGTTTCGAAGTGGGTGAAAAGCTCAGTCAGATCGCAAGGGCCTTAGGCCTGGCCGTCTCTACTGTGGCGACCATCCGTGATAATAAAGAGAAAATCAAAGCGAGCTCACGAACAGCTGCTCCCCTGCGAGCCTCGCGGTAGACTCAACATCGAAGCGCAGCAATGGAGACCATGGAGCCGTTGCTGAGCTCAAGTGGCTCAAGACCAGAGCCAGCGAAATGTGCCCCTGAGTATTACCATCATCCGGGAGAAGGTTAAGAGTTTGTTTGATGACTTACAGCGTGGACAGGGCGAAAGCTCTCCAACGGAGAAGTTTAGTGCAAGTAAAGGATGGTTTGTGAGGGTCAAGGAGCGCCATCATTCGCCCCGCTTCAGGATGAACAGTAGGCTCCGGGCAGCAAGAAGGATGTGTATTCAGACTCGCTGAAAAGCATCATCGAAGAAGGTGAGTACAGCCTTCGGATGTTTTTTGATGTAGATGAGACAGGGCTTTATTGGAAGAGAATGCCTGAAGGAACGTTTCTTTCTGTGGAAGAGAAAGCTGAGCTGGGGTTTAAGTCATCCAAAGATCGCTTGATGCTGCTTCTTGGTGGCAATGCAGCTGGCGACTTTAAGTTGAAGCCCTTACTGGTGTACCACTCTGAAACCCCCAGAGCTCTGAAGGGGTACTCAAAGGTCAAATTGCCTGTGATTTGGCTTTCAAACAAAAAGGCTTGGGTAACCAGGAGCATCTTTCATGAGTGGTTCACATACTGCTTTTGCCCTGCCGTTGAAGAATACTGTGCCCAAAATAATCTCACTAACAAAGCATTGCTCATCCTAGACAATGCACCATGCCACCCAGTAAATTTGAGTGATCTTTCTGAAAACATAAGAATAGAGTATCGTCATGACAGTGCAGCTAACTCAATCCAGCCCCTGGGTCAAGGTGTAGCCTCTGCTTTCAAAGCTCATTACCTGAGAAGGACTTTTGAGCATATCCTAGAAGCAACAGATGGTGAGGATACAGCTACGATCAGGGAATTTTGGAAAAACTACAACATCATGGATGCTGTGGACAATATCGCAGTAGCTTGGGAGAAACTCAAACCAGGGATAATGAACAGTGTGTGGAGGAAGATTTGACCTGAGTGTGTTCAGTCCCAGAGTTTTTCTCAAACAGATACCATTGCACAGCTTCACCAAAACATTGTGACCCTTGCCAAGAGTGTGGCCTTTGAAGAAGTTGTAGAGACTGACGTGGAGCAGTTGCTGCAGTTCCATGAAGATGATCTCTCAAATGAGGAACTGATGCAGCTGGAACAGGAGCAGGCTGCAGGAGAGGAGGAGAGTGCAGATGTGCCACCTGCCCTGCGTCAGCTGACCACAGGAGAACTGTCGGCAGCCTTCTCGCACTTCGAGGCCGGCTTGCAGGTCCTTACCAGTAGCAGCCTTGATGATGAGTGGAAACTGAAAGTTTCAAGAGCAATCGATGCAATACAGTGCTACAGAGAAGTGTACCATGAGAAGAAGCAGCACTCAGAGCACTTGTCTCAGGTCACTTTGCAGTGTGTGTTACCAGAAGTCAGCCAGAGTGAAGCCAGAAGCACCAAGATGATCTCAAGGGCTGAGGCCCAGCCAAGCCTCTCTGTTTCCCAAGGTTTAAGATCCCTGGAAACCTTGCTGCTGGTATTTCCATTTTGGCACTTTAGAATATCATATTTTGGGGCTGCCCGGTGGCGCACTCGGTAGAGTGCGGCGCTTGGGAGCGCAGCGGTGCTCCCGCTGAGGGTTCGGATCCCATATAGAGACCAGGCTGCTCACTGGTTGAGCGTGGTGCGGGCGCGACACCGAGGGTTGCGATCCCGTTGCTGGTCACGGTACGGGCACGACACTGTGGGTTGCAATCCCATTACCGGTCACGAAAAAAGACAAAAAGGAAAAAAAAAAAGAATATCATATTTTGTCATTAAAATTCTGTTTAAATATGTGCTTTAAGAGGACTGCATGCAAGGGCTGGCCCCATGGCTCACTCGGGAGAGTATGGCGCTGGTAGCGCTGAGGCCACGGGTTCGGATCCTATATAGGGATGGCCGGTGCACTCACTGGCAGAGTGTGGTGCAGGCAACACCAAGCCAAGGGTTGTGATCCCCTTACCAGTTAAAAGAAAAAAAGAAAAGACTGCATGCAAGTACCAAGGAAAAAAAAATTTTTTTTTAAATTGCAAAGGGGAGACTAGCCCTTCCAGACATTAAAACTCTATAAAGCCTTAATAATTAAAGCAGTGTAGTAGTCAGACCTGTAGAGTAGAACAGAAAGTGCAGATAGACTTTATGGTGCAGAACAACTGGTTAACCATTTGAAAGGAGATAAAATTACATCGATAACTCACAGCATATACAAGAATAAATTCCAAATAGATCAGGCATCTAAGTGTAAAAAGTGAAACTGTACACGTACTGCAGAAACACATGAATGAATGCCTCTTTAACCTGGGTGTAGGAAAAGATTTTCTGTAACTCAAAATCCACATTAAATAAAAGAAAATATTAGTCAATTTGACCATATAAAAATGTAAACAAAACAAAACTTTTCCAGGGAAAGAAAACACTGAAAGTAAGGTCAAAAGGCAGTTAAACTGAAAGAAAATATTTGCAACATATGTCACAGATAATGGGCTAATATCCCTGATATGTGAAGAACTCTTAAAGATTGAAAAGAAAAAACACCAAGAATCCAAGAGAAAAATGGTCAAAAGACATAATTCATAAAATAAGTTAGATCCTGAGACACATGAAAAGAGGTTTCACCCCACTGATAATTAGAAAAATGCAAAGTAAAACTACACAGGTATATTTCTCATGTTGCAAAAATCAAAAAATATGGCAACATTCTGTGAGGAGGCTGGGGGTCCCAGGCGCTCATGTGGGTGGTGGGAATGCAAATTGGTACAACTCAACTGGAGGAGCATTTGGCACTATCTACTAAAAAGTAGATTTGACTCAGCAATCCCATCTTGGGATTGTTCCCTGAAAATGTACTTCCAACAAAAGAAAATACACGTGCACAGGTTATGCATCACAGCCTTGTCTGTAACTGCGAAAGCCAGGAAGCAACCTGAGTATTTATACGTAGAAGAGTAGTCAAATATTTGACACAATGTCGTATGATACAGATGTAAATTACAACAATAATAGAATAAGGAAGAACTCTGAACTGGTGTGGAATGGTTCCCAGGACATATTAACTGAGAAAAGCAAATGTGCAGGAGTCTAGTATACTGCCCTCTGTGGGATAAAGAAGGGGAAGTGAGAAAATATACATGTATCTTACTCATTAGTGCAAAAGGAAACACATGGCAAAGAAACCAGAGACTACAGAGAAGGACTACCTGTGGGGCATGGGGGATGGAAAGGTTTAAAGGAATGGGGAGGAGGAGGACATGTCACTGAGTGCACCTTTTGTAAAGTTCAGGCTTTTGTAACCATGTTAGTATCTCACACAGTCAAACAAGAATGGGAAATAAAATATGTGAACTGAACCATATTTCAAATTAATGACATAGGCCGGCCCGTGGCTCACTTGGTAGAGTGCGGTGCTGATAACACCAAGGCCACGGGTTCGGATCCTATATAGGGATGGCCGGTTTGCTCACTGGCTGAGCGTGGTGCTGACAACACCAAGCCAAGGGTTGAGATCCCCTTACTGGTCATCTTTAAAAAAAAAACAAAAACAAAAACAAATTAATGACATAACCACAATGAAGGGGATAAACACCCAAATTTTGAACACCGTATTTTGACTACATGCCCTCAGGCTAAGGATAAAAATAACTCTAGACAAATGTTAAACTTAGTTGGTAGGCTTCCTTTTCACAAAGGCATGGGTTAGCAATGCTATAACTAGTTTCTGTATATTCTAGTATTGAGCAAATAAATATGTTATGGATAATGGATCCAAGTTTCCATGTCAAGGAAGGGCTTTAGAAATATCACAAAGGGAAAGAATGAACCTTATGGTGCTGTTTTGAAAGTGTCAGTGTGAGCTCATGGTTTCTAATATGTTTAGAAACAGATGTAGGGGTGCTATTTCCTGGCTCTGTTGAAAGAACCCAGAAGGGCCGGCCTGGTGGCGCACTCGGTAGAGTGCGGCGCTTGGGAGTGCGGTGGCACTCCCACCGAGGGTTCGGATCCCATATAGAGACCGGTCCGCTCACTGGTTGAGCGCGGTGCGGGCGTGACACCGAGGGTTGCGATCCCGTTGCTGGTTGCGGTACCGGCGCGACACTGAGGGTTGCGATCCCATTACCAGTCACGAAGAAAAAAAAAAAAGGAAAAAAAAAAAAAGAAAACCCAGAAGCTGTGACACCCCAGTAACAGCAAGCACACCCAGCGACCACATCTTGGCTACTAACGCCATTATCCTTAAAAGGAATCAGGGCTCCTTGGAGAACTGGCTGATTACAGGGCTGAGGCTGGGGAACTACAGAGAAGCGTGGAACACCTGGCTTCTTGAAAGTAAACAAGCACCTGAAGAATAATGGACATGCCAAAAGGACACAGGAGACAGGATGAAAGAGCTCCCACTGGCCAAATCTGGGGCAATTTGGATGTCAAATAATTACAGTAAAGGATTATAACCCATTGAGTAGAATAGGAACTTCAGTGCCTAAGTAAATAAATGGGGAGAAAGGAAATCTCTTCCGTACAATAGAAAGCCAACTAATAAATGCAGAAGTAATGCTGGAACTAGAAAGTCGCCATTTGGCAATCTTTGTCATATTTGAATTAGGCAAGAACCAGCAGTGGATGCTAAAATTGGTGGGTGGAAGTTTGAGGAGTAACTGAATATTTACATAGTCTTAAAAGTATCTCCCTACAAGATACTTATTAATTACAAAGGAATATATATCATCATCTTACAGTGGAGAAAACTAGCAGACATCATCTTCTTCAGGTCTCCAGCAATGGACAAATCTCCTGAGTCCACCAGGGAGGACAGTGTCACTGCTGTGGGATTCTTGCCAAAAGTGCAAAACTTGAATCTAACCTGAAACAAACCCAAACTGAGAGACATTTTTCAAAATAATTAGGCTCCAGTTTTCAAATATGCCAATGTTTTGTCAGATTAAAGAAGGCTAAAGAGACATGGCAACCAGAGGTGCTGTGGGTCTTGGTGAGGGGTAGAGGTTGACCATAAAACACTGGACAACAGGTGAAATCTGGACAGGGTTTGCTGTAGGTTTTACAGAATTGTGTCAATGTTATGCTTGCTTCAGTAGCACAGTCACCAAAATTGGAGCTGTACAGAGATTAGCATAGCCCTTGAGCAAGGATGACATGCAAATTCATGAAGTGTTCAATGTTTGTAAAAAAATTTTTAAAAATTATGTCAAGGGATTTCCCTATCCTGGTTTTGGTCATCACACTGTGGCTATGTGAAGCCATGTTCCGGTTTGGGGAGATGCTGTTGGGAAAATGGGACAATTTGGTCAGGCTCCCCTCACCTTGGAGCCGGTTCAGGGCAGGTTGGTAAACATTGTGTGGGTGGAGTGAGTGTGCCCACGTGGCGCTGCTTTGGCTGGTATTTTACTGCCTCGGGTGCCTGCGCTGTGCAGCCATGTTTTTTCCAAACCTTCAGCTTCCAAGGACCATGTGGCCAGTTGCCTAGCTTATAGAACTGTGTGAAGGAGTCTGGTGACCCAGCCTTTCATGTGAAGGGTTTGTGACCCAGTCTGTGAATGGGCTTGAGGGGTCTGGGAGCTCCAGACCCAGCCCTAGCTCGACAATCGGCCCAGTCGGTGCAGGATTACTGGCAGGTAAAAGAGTCCCGACAACCAGCGTGGTTGCCTAGCTTTACAATTGGCATCACGAACAGGATTAAGAGCTAGACATTTGGTACTATGAGCAGGATTTGCAACATCAGCCTTAGCCTCACAGTAGCCCTTGCAGTAGCCAGACAAATTGGCGTAGTTGGGCAGGATTATGCCACATTTGGCGTAGCCTGCAACAGGACTCTAAGCAGATACAGGAGCCAAAAGCCCTGGGAAAAAGGAGGAAATGTGGCTATTTGTGACTATGCTGTGCCCTATGGCCGCCTTTCTGTTGACTGGGACCTGGTTGCTGCACACTGTACTGCAAGGCAGCACAGACCAGGTACTACGGCAGAAAACTCCTTGAGAGGGAGAAGAAATATGGCTGTCTTTGAGCGTGTGGTGCCCGGTGGCCACTTTTCTGCTGACCGGAGCCTGGCTCCTGTTAACTATGTTGCAAACTGATCAAGAGCTGAAATGGAAAGCAGAGTTGTTGGTGGATGATGTGCAGCTACTGGCAGATTTGAGGCAGAAAGCAGAGTCATTGGAAGCACAGATAAATGTCCTGGAGGACGATGTGCGGCAACTGGCCACTCCTTCCCTTCACACCAGGGAAGAAGACCAACCCAGTGGTGAGTTGGGGGAGACCATGCATCTCCAGGCACAACCTGTTGTGCACGAGAAATTGAGGCACGAGGAGCCTATGGGATTGGGTGGACAACCAGTGGGCAATCCACAGGTGACCCAATTTACTACCTATGTCCCATATACCCAGGTTGAGTTAGTTGACTTGAGGAGACAGTTTCGGCAGAAATGGGGAGTCCCTGGCTGCTTGGCTGTTGCAGTTATGGGACCTAGGGGTGTACAGTGTAATGTGCTCTGGTGAGGAGGTGGAGAAACTGGCCTCCATCACCATGCACCCATCCCTGAGACAATCGCTGCAAAATAGCCACAGATGTGCACCCGGACGAGGTAATCACTCCTTG